TCAGCTAAAACCCTAGAACAACCTCTACGAATAAGTAGATAAAGACACAACAAGAAGGATACTGAAGCAAAAATCTCAATTTGAATCAAGCTCTATTTATTACACTATTTCATGTCAAGTTCAAAATCAACACACAGGCATTTACTGCACAAAATAAATAAATTGAAAGCATTAAAAAGTTTACCATACAAAAACTAATAAGATATTAGCGTCCTAATACTATATTTGCACCAGTTAATGGAAAATGAGATCCAAAATAAATCAATTATCTTCTTCAACTAATTTACTATTATGACACTGAAAGTAATCATTTTAAAAAAGGGCTTTTCAAAAAATTCAAACTATAAATGATTGACAATCCTGCAGCTGAAACCCTACCTAGCACGAATCGCACGCATACTAGTAGGTTCATAACCAGTATACGACTGCGTACTGTACTCAAAATCAGAGTCCGGTCCACCAGGACAATACACACAAATATTCCCCGTCGTCGCGATATGCGGACACCGGTGCGGCTTCGACATGACGGCAACAACTGCAATTCCTGATGCTGTGCGTACAGGTTTAGCCCGGAGTTTCGGTAGCAGTGACTCGCGATCGGATTCCGGCAATGCTGCGATCATCTCGACGAGTTTTGGAGCACGTGCGAGGCCGTATTTGCGACAGGCGGCGGATTTTAGGGCGTTAAGATCAACAGTTTGGTTTTTCCTCGAAAGGTCTACCATGGAATTGACGATTTCGGCTATGGCTCGGACTCTAGCTTCTTCTTCGGTTAGTCCGTGATGTTGGTACCCGCCGCGACCCGGCCGCGGGAGTTTTTTGGTCTCGGTAATTACTGCAGTTGCCATCGGAGAGAGTGGGGAGAGGAAAGGGAAAGCTGAAAAATACGCAGGGAAAGAAGCCCTCCCTTGTGTTAAGACTTGATCCCACGTTTGGCATTGTGCTTTAAATGGGGTGTGATAAAATTTAAATTTATTTTTAAATATATATATATATATATATATAATTATTTTAATGTATTTCTAAATAAAAAATATTTTGAAAAGTAATTACAATTTTAATTAAATTTAATTATAATAATATTTAATTTAAATTTAATTGATAAATAAATTGAATTTATATATTTAAAAAAGATAGAATTTAATTTATTTTGTTTTTTATATTACTCTCACGTTATTGTATTTTATTTTTTTAAAGATCTCTTATAAATTTTTTTATGTAAATGAGTACTTTAAAAAACTTAGTTTTAACATTAATTTTTTTTCTTTGTAATTATAAATCAGAGGAGCTAGCCTATAATTTATTTTTGTATAATTTTTAAAGATTGAATTTTATTAAAAATTTAATTATTAACAATCAAAATAAATCCAAATATGAAATTTTATTAAAATATAAAAAACCTGTTTATTTTTCATTGTTTCGATTTTTCTAGTATGTATAAAATAAGAGGCGGAACCGAATGCATATATAATTTAATTCACAAGTGTAGTATTACATGGCATAATCCATATATTTCTTTGTAAATTTAATAAAGCTTTGTGCTTTGTTCAAGGGTGAGGTGCACTTATAAATGAAAAAAAAATAAAGAGGCCGGTCAAAATATTCCTTATAATCTACAACGTGTTTCCTAAGGTACGTAGATGGTATGTGTATTTTTTTGGTAACTTATTTAAAATTAAAAACCAATTGATTTTAAATTCTCATAGAAAAATAAGATTTTAAAAAATAAAAAATTTTAATCAAGGATTGCATACCATAATATATTTAAAATAATATACTTAAATTCTTAAATTTTTAAATTAACACAACTTACACAATTTAGATCTTTTATATTTAAAAAAAATCAATTTTGATATCAAATTTTTTTATATTATTTTTCAATCTAGAGATAAAGAAATGATAAAAAGAGGTTATCAAATTGTAATGATGAGAGAGAAGGTTGTTAGGACATTATGGACTATTAAAATAGAATTTTTTTAGGCTTATAGGTTTTATGAGATTAAAAAGGTTTAATAGTAGTTGTTTAAAAAAATAAATCTAAGTTGGGAAAAAAAATCTAACCTGATTTTATTTTATGTTTTCGACCCTTTTTTAGAGTTTTTAAATTGATAAATTAGTTTATATATGTTTTAAGGATATTGATTAAATATTTTAGAGCTGAATTTACTTAAAATTAAGTTTTATGAAAAAAGAAGCCTATCTGATTTTAGAGCCACCACTGGATGATTGAAATCTGAGCATATAGATTAATAGGTGATACATTGCGTGTGCATTTTTTTTTTTTTTAAATAAGGGTAGACTCTTTGCCTAGGCATATAAGCTTAGGCTTAAAGGCCAATCCATATGTTTCTTTGCTTTGGTCCTGGCAAGCTAGACTATAGGCATGAGAGCTGTCCTTTCTTTGCTATTTTTTGATTTTTTACAGTTAAATATAAATTAAAAAGAAAACTTGTTAATATCAATTTAGTTTATAGTCTAGAATGCAAGTTCAAAAAATTAAGCCATAACATCTTCTTTTTTTTAATATTATTTTTTTAATTGATATTTTTTAATTTTTATCTTATTCATCAAGTTTTAGATATCTATAAGAATATTCATTATATAACTATTATTTATTATTAAATAAAAAATAGTTATATATATATATATATATTTATATATATCTATCTTAAATTAGGTTTATGTCAAGTTTCAGTTAAGTTTGACAATATTAATATTTGACACCATTACTCATTATATAAAATAACTATCCAAAAAGATCATCCATTTAGGTTGATTCGAGTTGATATCTATAAGGTTTAGATTAAGTTACTTTTTCTAATTAAAAAACTATTTTCATTTAAAAACACCTAATAAATACCCTTTAAAACATAAAAAAAAAATCTAATTTGTCAACCTAAAAAACAAAAAAAAAACACACCAAATCAATTAGGGTAAAAATTTTCTTTCTAAACCTTGATATGTTTTTTGAGGCAATATTGAGGTATGAAACAATCATCTTCGAACTCTTTTTATTAAATAAAACCCGTTAATATCAAAATTAACCATTTTAATTGTTGAAATTAGTGACAACTCGTGATCTTCTCTCTTAAATCCAAGACTAAAAAATAAAGAGAATCTAATGATTTTTTTTTCTCTTTTCTCAAATCCAAGGATTGAAAAATAAAAAAATTAAACATTTGGTATTCTGGTCGTACCATTTTCATTTAACAATATCAAATTATATATGTTCTTTAAATTGCCTCCCTTCCCCTTGTATTTCTTTATCAAATGACCATTCTTCTACTCTTATAATCGAAGATCAAATTAATCAAAATCTAGTTGTATTTTGAAGTTGATATGTACAAGTGATTTTATCAATCCTGATATGTTTGGTCCAAATGGTGCCATGCCCACTTAAATATCACCTTAGATCCTTTATGAGGTCATAAGCTTAAAAGGGTGGTCATCTATTTAGGTGAACTTCTCAATGTTGCAAATTAGAGCTAAAAATAGGTCTGGGTGTATTGCCTAGCCTAAACATGCTAAGTTTGGGTGTGATAACTGAGTCTATAAAAAGTGAGAATAAATCCAATCACATTGCTTGAACTCAAACATACTGGACTCAAACATATTAAAGGTGAGAAATGGATTTAGATGTGCTACTTGTACCCAAATATTTTCGACTAGAGGCACACTCCCGAGCCTAAGGCTAAGCCCACTAAGATGCTAGGGTGTATATGCAACACCAAGGATGTAAGGTATGTTACACCCATGCTTGGTGTATGGCCAGCAAGGCTTGTGTCCTGCATGGGAACAAGCTTCTTGCTCAAGCTCATGTCCTTTAAGGAGCTGAGCTTAAGCTACCACGCTTGAGGTTAAGTGGTGTTCCTGCTAGGCTTATTTCTGAGGGGATTTTTTTGGTCTATCATACGGTTTTTTTTTGTCTATTTCATTTGGATCCATTACTTGTCTTTTTTATTTAACAATGTCAAATTTCACAAGTTTTTTAAATTGCTTCCCTTCCCCCTTCCCTTATATGATTATGTGTTTGTTTTTTATGCATGTTATGCATTTTTTAAACATTTTTTTAGTATTTTTGGATTATTTTGATGTATTAATATAAAAATAATTTTTAAAAAATATTATTTTATAAATTTTCAAATAAAAAACACTTTAAAAAATAACAACTATGATAATATCAAATACTACCTTTGTTAAATAACCAAGCTTTATCTCTTGTGACAAAGGTGGGATCTGTCAAAATTTGATTATCATTTACAGTCGATAAGGACATGTTGCTTCATCAACCTTGATTTGTCTATTTAGATCTTTTGTCTACTTGAATGTTGACAGATCAATATTTCTCTCTTTTAACACTAAACACATAACGATCATGGCCCAAAACTTTTTATTCCATTTCTAAACACTTTTTAAGGGCTCAGGTAGAACATTTGAGCCCGGGTAAAGGGTTAGGCTTGAGGCCGGGTATTGAGCACCTCCCATAATTTTTTATAGGCTTTGACACACCAACTAACCCAACTTCTAAATGATGTATCTTGATTTACTTTTTAGTATAAAAATATGTGGTGAGTCCTTTTGTTTTTTTCATTACTGTTCGTGTAAAAAATATTTTATCTTTTATAAATATTATTATGGTAAAATTACTCTTCAGGCTCTCCATCTAAAAAAAATGATCCAAGAGTTATAAATATCCAAGCTACCAAACAAATGACAAATTTTTCTTATATTAAAAAGATATAAATTCACCGAACCAATCTAAATATTAAAATTTAAAGTTTTTTAAGTGTATTTATCTTTTATTTTTTCTATAAAACTGCTAAATTTATTATTAGTGTATCCTTAAATATCCTAATTTTTTTTTCCATGTATCCTAGCCATTCATTAAAAAAAATGCCACTTGCAAAAAAATTTAACCGATTTACGATTCAACCACTAAAAAAACCTGCACACCTCATCAAATGTCATCTTGCATCCCTTCCCTTAAGAAGTCATAAACTGAGGGCGATAATCTATCCATGTTGGGCTCCGCAATGCTGCACCTGCACTAGATGATTGTGTGGGAAGAACTTCTTGCACCACCCTTGACTTTGTAAAGGGCAACCTCTTGTTTTGATCCAAAATACAGCTCAATGTCGCCCTGCTATTCTGCTTCCTCATCTTTTATTTTCACTTTCTTTCTGCCCGTTGAAGCCTTCACTGTTCAGGTTTTCCTTCACTTTCAGCTTCCTTTCCAATTCTTTTAGAGGCTTTGAAGATGGAACCTTTCCCGAAGGGCATGCTAGGCCCACCTTCTAGCTCCTCTTTGGCAAGCGATTTCAACTATCTAGCACTCTGCTCCCTATTCACCATTCTGAAGCCGAGGAGTCTATAGATTCGTTTGCGTCTCTTGTTTCACCAATTGCCAGCATCTTTCAGGTGCAGCGTTTTGAGTCATCCTTCTCCTGAATTCTCTTAAAACATGCCGTTTCTTTTTACCTTAAAGTCATGTCTTCTTTTTTCCTCTGTTTCGCTTCTTCTCTGCACATCTACATAGAAAAAAACCAGACAGAACCTTGGAGCCCCTTCCCTCTCCCTCATTATCCAAAGAACAAACCCTATCCTCTTTTGCCATCCTTCTCCTTTACTTCAAGGAAGATGAAGTCCACAAGCCGAAGTTGCTTGAGTTCAAGTTTCTGCGTTGCCACTTCAATTCAAGTCATCATCAGCTGGCCTTTGGCTAGCTGGGGCGGAATTTACTAATTCTCAACTGATCATAAACCTATAAGTTGTTTTTCAATTTGATCCCTTCATGTTTTCTGCATTAATTTCCCAAAGGGTCTTTTTTTCAATTGTGGTTGACATTTACCGAATAATGTTCATAATTTATGGAAATGTTTTTGACACAACACTGAAAAGAATGAGTATACATTTGTTAGGGACTAAATTGAGGTTTCCCAAACAAAAAGGTCACAGGAGCAGGAACTCTGATAACTGACTAGATGGTGACACTCAACCTGGGACACCCAGTGATCTCTCCCTCCTTAAAACGACAAAGCCTGTCGCCGCCAGAACCAAACTCATTGTCGTTTATGACCTCGGCCATGGCCATAGCGACTGCAGCCTCCTCTCTCCTCCACTCAAAACCACCACCACCACCACCAACTCTCCTTTCTCATTCCCCACAATCAGCACAACAACTTCACCTTCCCAAAACAACATCCTCCAAACGGACCCCATTAGTACTTACCACGAGTCATTCAACCTTGGAAAAGACCATTCCCACGACAAGTCGTTCCACCAATTGCCCAGACCTATCTTTCCTTTCTTCTTTGACAACATCTGCTATTGATAATCTAGCCGTGGTGAGTCCTTCACTTGCATATGCGAACACCCTTTGCTTCAAATCTGGATTTAACGTGCAAATCAACGTGAAAGAGAACGAGCCTGAGGAGAGTATACTGTTTCGGTTCAAGAAAGCTGTTATAAGGGCACGTGTTTTGCAGGAGTGTAGGAGGAGGAGGTTCTTTGAGAGCACACAAGATAAGAAGAAGAGAAAAACTAGAGATGCTGCTAGAAGAAACAGTCAGAGGTCAGAATTTGTACTTTCTTTTCTTTGTTTCTTTCTTTCGTTCTGTTTTGGTTTTGGTTTTTATTTATTCTGTTGCTACTTTTGGATTGATTGTGCAATTTGGTTGAGTTTTGTGGGCTTTGATTTATGTTGTATACATGTGATTTGAAAGCGCTTCTTTTTTCTTTTTTTTTTTTTTTGGGGGGGGGATGTTTGGTTCTTCTCTTTATTAGGCTTTCATTCAAGGATTGGTCTTTCTACACCAATTGAATTTTTTTAGCATATAAATTTTGTTTTCCCGCTTGATTTTTTCATTTTTTTACTATATGGTATTCTTAACATTTGTAAAGTCTAATGCCTGTCTTGTGCATTATTATAAACTGAAAATTTGATTTTGCTTGGCTTGTGTTAACGTTGCTTTTGTTTTTGCGTTATGATCATATGCTTAGTGACACTTATGTCAAGAGGTGGAAGCTTGAAACTTCGGAATCACTTAGAATCTAGCTTCTGGATTCTAGTCTTGTTTCGAGTTGGACTAGTAAAATTATTCATGGACCCTTCACTGTGTGAAATCAAACAGTTAACTTCATATGAAAAGTTTTTGTTCACTTGGTATTGATCATACTGAACTAGACAGGGCTGCATTAAATGTTGGAAGTGCAGGAAAGAAAAGGAATTTTCTGTTCTAGCCGTAGTAATGAAAACCTCTGTCAGATAGTTGTGTAGTTGCACCCAGTTGAATTCAGGTTTTAGTTTATCTTGCCCCAGCCATTTGAATGGCTCCATATCTATAATCTTTTCTTTGCCATCCTTTCAACATCAAAATTGAGCATGCAATTAGAGTATCCGTCTTCCTTCCCTTTCTTAGTTTTGCAATCATACTTTTGGTGCACTCCTAGTCTTTTAAAGCCCTGGAGGCAGCGGCATGAAGTTTTAGGTGATGCTGCTTGGATTGACTACAATGTTGCTTTCTGATTTTGTACTACTGTTTTAAACCTTCCACGTCTGTGTATTATAATTCATTTTTGGCTGAGTAAAACTCATCATAATGTTGAGGAGAATTGTTTGAGAAATTATACTTGCTGGATCCCTCTAGTTAAAAGTCTAAAGGTTATCTTAGACTTAATTTGTTTCTCGCAATGTCAGATGCCCACGGCCAAGAAAACCAGTTAAACAGGAAGCACCCAAGAAGAAAAAGGATGACGATGACAACTGGGAACTTCCAGAAGGAGAGATTCCCTATCGCTGACTGAGGCAACGAGGTCCATAAGAGGAAGCCAGATAGCAGCTGAAATGAGAAGGAAAGAACAAAAGATGAATACTGTTTTCAAGAATCTCCCAACCGATGAATCCATAGCTCAAGTGACTGACAGCCTCCCTCTTGCCTAAATGAAATGGAATGAATCAAATCAGTAAGCTTTTTAATTGATTCAGGATGAAGCGAAGCCAGATTCAACCAGGGTAGGGGCAAGCTGAGAATCAGCTTCAATCCCGACTTAAAGTTCCAAGCGATGCTTTTGACAACCAGATTGTGAATATAAAAAATGTTAAAACTAGGTTAGCTGAACAGGAAACGTGAATAGAGTTGTTGGATTTATAACCACAATTTGGAGACGACACTTTTTTGTTACAGTAAAGTTTTAGAATTGGTAGTTATTGGTTTTGCACTGTGGAGTATGGAGATGTAGCCATCAATGTATTTACAGGTCCAAACAATTTAATGCCTATTTATGCTACCATCAATGTGCGTATTGTTGTTTATGAGTGTTGTGCTGCTGCACGCTGAATCCCGAGCTGCCATGATATAGTTTCAGTGTGCTAAATCGCTATTTACCACAACAGACTGAGACTATCTTACCCCAGTCCAGCCTAAGAACTGTAGAGCGAGAAATTTACCTGAATTATGGACTTCAACTATACTCATTCAGGCTGCCTAAGCACTGTACATCGATAAATTTACCTGTGACCAATCATAGATGGCCTTGCGCTGAAATTTCAAAAGCTGAACAGTCTTCGACATGCACCCACCATACCCAGTGGAAAATTCTTAACTCACATGTCCAAAGGGACTCGTTATAGTTACGTAGGTGTGAAATTTTAAACTTCTTAAGGAGTAAAACTATGAATCAAATCAATAACCTAAGCTAAAGCTATGTATAAATTAAACGAGAGAAAAATCTTGTAGTCTTAAAGGACCAATGACAACGTAAACCTATTTTCCCCAACAGTTCTCTCGGGCAACGTCAGAAAAAAAGAGTTTGTGCGTTGAAGCGCGTAAACAACGTGGGTGCCTCTGATCAATTACCTAACAAAAGAAAATACAGTTATAACGTACAGAATGTCTTCTCATTTCCGTTTTCTATCATCCCCTCTCTTTCTTTGCCTTACAAATCGCTCTTTCTTGTCCCTTTTCTTTTTCAGCTCTATAAAAGTTGATGCATCACAACGAAGTCCCCCCCCCCTCTCACCCTAAAAACTCTTTTGGGACTTTCATGGCTTCTGTAAGTTTTTTCTTCCCTTTTACTCTTTTCTTTTCATCTTTCTTTATAGTCTTGCCTGCTTTGTTTTGTCTCTGTTAAGATTTCTGTCTCCTTAATCCTTAATTTACGTTTGTTCTTTGATTCTAAATATTGTTGTTTATTTTTTTTTTCATTTCAAGAATGGATATGTTCATATTATGTTGTGTATGTTCTTGTTTAAGCAGCTAAATATTGGGTTTTCTGTAATTTCAGGAACAGGTCAATGCATATTATATTATATTATGTTGTGTATGTTCTTGTTTAAGCAGCTTTAATATGGGAGAACTAGATGACCAAGATAGTCTTTATGAATGTTTTGAGGAGGATAGGGTTTTATTTCGTAACCTGTATATCATTTAGATATCTTAAATTGAATGGCTTTGTAATTGATAATTTTTTGTATTGTTTTTCCAAATTTCGTGGGATGTTCCTGGTCCATCATGTGTCTGATGTATGTTTTTTTATGTGTTCGAGCAAAGTTTTGGTTGAGCTGGGGAAGTTTCGTTGGCTTTGCTTTAGGCCCTGGTATATGGCATTATGAACCATGTGATTTGTCAAAGTTTCTTGGTGATTGGTTGTTTTCTGAAAGTAGGCATGGATGGAAGAATGGATGGTTTTAGGGTTTGATTACTAATTGCATTGTGTCTTGTTTAATTCTCTGCACTCTGCTTTTCATTAGTTATTTCATCCCATGCCAATCGGAAATCAATAGATAACAAATGTACCTGTCTATGGCTTTTTTTATGCTCGGTTTTCTACGGGTTGCTGTCTTTCGCCATGTATCAAAATCTTTGATCCATTAGTAGCTTCTCTAGACTGAACTGATTTTTTTCTTCCTAATGTAGCTTCTTGGTAATGATTCCGCGTCCAAAACGAGTTGAATGTGTCTTGAAAAGCCTTTAACATTGAAGCAGGAAATGTCCTGAGAGAAGGCTGGTTAATCTATTAGAATTGATGATTTTTCTCTTTCAGCAAGGTCGGCCTTTGCCCAAGTTTGGTGAGTGGGATGTGAACAACCCTGCCTCTGCTGAAGGATTCACAGTCATATTCAACAAGGCTAGAGACGAGAAAAAGACCAAAAATAGTCCTGCAAAAGTTGTTTCGCCACGGAGAACTGAACCTTTGTTCAACAAAAATGCCACAAATGAGAACTGTGAGCATCCTCCGAAGGTGCATGTTTTAAATGAGCCATTTTCAAGTCCTCTTTCCCTTTCATTGGTTTTTATATTTGCGAATTCAAGGTTTCTTATAGCTCAATTATATTCTCATGCAGAGGAGGTGGCTTTGCTGTGTTGAACTCACAATGCACTAAGAGCCTTGATTAATGACTGGTGAAACTAACAATGTCCGGGGTGGGGATTCTCTTACTAGTTAATGCCTAAGCCTTCTGATGGAGGACTGAATGGTTTATGACCATACTTATTTTGTTTTTTCCCTTTTCACTCGTTTATTGCCATGGATTCTTACTTTTCATTTTATGTTTCTTATGCTTCTCATATAATGGCACAAGAGTGCCAGAAAAAAAGTTGACTCTTTGTTTTTACATGAGATGTTGCAGCGTTCCACTTATTGGCTCTGAGAAACAACATGATACTAATCAATAACACCTTTTACATTTATTATTATTGTTGTTGTCAAAAAGTTTTGCTTTTCCTCCTTGCATGGAGAAATTATCATTTGATGCCATGGAAATTAGCCTGATTCTTACAGATAAACAAAATATTCAGGGTTTTAAGATTCTCGGCTTGGGGTTTTCCAATGAGTGTTGACCTTAACCCTATAGTTGTGTTGAGGATCAAAATGGCATCCTTTGCCCATTCTTGCATTGATTCTTAAACTAAACACAATGTCCACTCTCTTCCATTTATTACTAATGGAAACATGCCTAGTTGTTCCTAGAACTCAAGAGCTCCTCATTCTGTTTATAAAACAATATATAATGAAAACAAAAAAATTGTCACTCTATTCCAAATCTGTGGCTTAACTTTTGTTCTGCTAATCCGGCTTTTGTAGTTTTTAAGGTCGGTAAAATGGGAGATCGTGACTCCAACGAATTGATGACTGCTTATAGTTTAAAACTGCTTTCATCAATGACCCCATATCCAGCCATACAGCTCCACTGGCTTCACTCCTATGCAGCTATATAGCTCTACAACCAAACAGCAGCTGGTTGCTTTCATGACTTGAGTTTCAAAACTAGCCATCCCCTTCGGCGGATAACAATCTCACTCGCTCACGCAGAGACAACATGCGCATTTGGCAAGTTACTGGTTAAAACCAGCATAGAAGCTCCAAATCTCATGGATTACTACCTTTCCTTTCTGAAAAATCCCATGAATCCTATATGGCTAGTTTTGAATTATAAATTACTGATCACTGCCTGACCCTAACTTTTTTTTTTCCTCTCTATCTGTTGGCTCTCCTTTTGTTCCCGTGGAGTTCCCAACAAACATAGATTGGAAGGATTAATTATGATTTTCTCGAGCATAGTGGCATTCTCAAGCATGCACCCTGTTAGATGAGGTTATAATTCATGTTATTCTCTAAACGCTTAGAATTTCCTCTCAAAGCATCCTTGTACATAGCGTGTAAGAACATTCCACGAAGCACATAATTTACTGATGAAATAATAGAAAAAATTCAAAGGATTTTCTCGACTTTCCACGATTGACAATGAACTAGGCCATTCAGGATGGGCTATAGCCAACAAAACTGTTTAGGGGATCCTTCAATACTTAAATCAGTTTTGGGAAGGAGCTTAACGATGTTGAAACTAGAAATTGTACTTGTTTGTGTATAGCAGAGATTTGGGTGGTCTTGCCTGTATCGTTGGGCATTAGAAGTTTAATTGTATAGTTGTGTATAGCATAGAGCAGGGTGACAACGCTATCATAGCTCATTTCTTTACTGGTTTTACTTATGAAACAAGTAAATGATCCAGTAAGAACATCTCATTCCTTAGTGAGCATAGGAAACAACGTTTCATTGGCCATAATATTGACTAATACTAGAGATAGCCTATAAATATTTTAGGAATGGTTGGAAATTTTGTATCCCAGTGTATTGTTTTGTATGCCAAAATAGTAAAGGTAAGGAAAATTGACTACCTCCACGATGAATTATCATAAACTAGGAGAACTAACAACCAATCTTCCACTGTTTATTATATATGTAATGGAAGCATGTATGCGCACAACATCGAACACTAGAAATATCCCTCCTGTGATAGACTTCCACCCTCAAATACAGCGGAAGAACCAGGAATTTCAAGTATTTGGTGCATTTTGACAAGCTTCTCTCATATTCTGTCCCAGGACACCATTCTGGTGGGACAATATCAGAGTTGCTGCAACTACTGTCACTCCTGCTAGCAGGGGTAGAGTTAGAATTTTTTTTTTATTCTGGACAACAATATATATATATATATATATATATATTATTTTTTAAGATCAATCATTAACTTATATATATAAATTTATCAAGTTAACAATAAATTTTTTATTTAAATACATAACATAAAATATAAATAAAATAAAATTTAAAGTACATAAAATTAAAAATAAAAATAAAATACAATATCAAAGTTGTATTTTTCGTTATTTATTAGAATAGAATTCATTTATAATCGAATCCGAATCAATATTTCAATAAGTGCTTGTTTAATATAAATTATCGTAGAATCTGTTAAGTATTACTTTTTTATTTTATTATGAAACACAGTTTTAACATGTTTTATAACTAAAAATACATGGTCTGTAGTGACAGTGCAGACAAAATCAAAACTAGATGAATCAACTTGTTAATCAAATGATAGTATTGTGACTTATTTGTTTAAGATAATCCTTAACATAATTCATAAATGATAAATATATTCTGAAAACTCTTATAATGAATCACATCAATCTAATAATGCTATAGCTGAGATCTCAAATAATACATCTCTTATTCATTAAAATTTTCAAGATAAAATCTCTCAACAAGCTTGAAAATAGCAACTTTAAATAATTTAAAGTTGTCATTAAATTCTAAAGCAGAGGTAAATACAATTCATATTTTTTTTATTTGAATTATTTTATAAAATTGAAATTTGTTTTCAATTTTATACCCTTTTAATTTTTTAATTTATTAAATTTGATTCTTATTCTTTTGATTACTATTTATTTTATTTAATTTTTTTTTTACAATTTTATCCTTCATTTTTTATTGTTATGTTTTTAATCCTTGGCAAGTTTTTAAAATTAATATATATATTTTTTATTTTATACTTTAATATTGATTTAGGCTTCTTGATTAAGTCTAAATTTAGGATTTAATGAGTTGAGAATTTGAAACATTAACCTAGATTTAGAAAAATTTTCTGAGTTTATTTTTTAATTTTATCTTTCAACATTTAATTTAAGTTTTTTTTTTAAAGAATGGTACACTTATTATTTTTTTTTTTTAAGTTTACCATGCAAGATAATTGAATTTTTTAAAAAAAGTAAATATAAAAATAATTTAGTGGTCAACAAAAAAATATGATAGAACTCCATTTTCTTTTTGGTCTGTTAAAACCAAACTTAATGAATATTTTATTTACTAGCTTTTGTTCTTGAAAGCATGCTTCTTTAGTAACACTACTTCTTCCGGTGAGTGACAGCTTTTCTTTTCAAACTTTCACCATCTTTGAAAACAGGAGAACGGAATAGACAAAGAGGGTAGAGGGTAATGTCGGAGCCTACGTGTAACTGTGGATTTCTATGTTTTTTTTTTCCACCTGGGCTACAGCCCACCGCAGCCCTTTAAATACCTCCGCCCTTGCCTGCTGGTGTGCTTTGTGCTTGGTGACATTTTGATCCTGGTTTTAGTTTTGAACCACTCTGGTCTTTTTTTAGGCTATCCAAGTAAGGCTAAGCCTGATTCTACGCCTTTCTGCTAGCATTCTTTTGTCTGGTAGCATGTTTTTCTGCTTCTACAGTAACTTTCAGTAGCCTTTGATTTGTATATTGGACTTAAGAAGTAGGACCTTTTACCAGCGAAAGAAATTTATGCAGATGAGGAGCTGTCTTAATCAACAATGTGAATTTAAGAAGGCTAATATCGTCCCTTTCATAAACATCAAGCACCAAGCGCTTGAGCATTATTGTTAGTTTAGGAACTCCATGGAATGTCACTTTTTTCCTGAAAGAAAAGCCGGATGTCAACCAAGGCTCAATAGATACAAAAGTGTGAGAAAGAATGTAAAAGATAAATATTGTTTAGGCATACATCATAAAAAGAGGCACGCAATTTGAGAATCTCCGAGGAAAATTGTTGGTTTTGTGATGACTGCAAATTTGCAGCAAAGAAATTCTAAGCTTGGTGTTTTTTTCTCATTGCAGGAAAACTAATATTACATGACTTTTTAGACACAAAAGTCTTGATTGCTAGAGCTTTATATCAATAAAGTCTTCACCTAATACCCGCAATGCTTGCAACATATCCCTTAACTTTAGGAACCTCTACTGACATTTCTGCAGATTTGCTTCAGCAATGATTTTACAGAATATCAGTAGATTTATACAGTAACATACACTAGACACAAAGTAGACGTAAAGCGGACATACACTATAGTGCATGTAGAAAAAGTAACAACATTCTAACTCCCCTCCTTGAGACTTTTGCTTGATACTCCCAGCTTGTTCCTGAGAAATTCAAATCTGATTTTAGGAAGAGCTTTTGTGAATATATCTGCTAGTTGGTTTTCTGCTTCACATTAGCTCAAGGTAAAAGGAGAATATAGAAAGAGATAGTAGTGAATTAATTCTCTTTTATTGAGTAGTAATAAAGAAACGTGAAAAATACATTTAAATTAGGCATAGTTGTTTTTATATACAATCGACAGTTAAGGATTTGTGTTTAACTAAACTAGGAATAGTTTATTTTCCATAAAAAAATAGGATCCTTTCCATATTTGAGATATTTGATTAAGCATGGCTGTAATTGTTTCTTCTGCTGACCTTCCATCTTGGTTCTACGACATTACCGTTGGAGCAAGGTTATGGTAAGTGTCTTTATGAAAAAGATTTGCAGATTGCAT